TTTTACAACAGTGGCACCATGCAATATTTGTCCTTTTGCGACTGAGATATTTCACTCAGCATAATGTCCTCCAGGGTCACCCATTTTGAATAATATTGTATGAGTTCCTTGTTTTTCAATGCAGCATAGTATTCCATTGTGTGAATACCACAGCTTCTCTATCCATTCGTTTGCTGAAACTTTTGCCATTTTAAGAACGTCTTCCACTTTAAAAAATGTTTATGAAAATTAATAAAATATAATTATAGAAAAAAAATGTTCTGGTATATTCTTGTGTACTTATTTTTTTTTTCTTGTGTACTTATTGTTCTTTTCATATAATAGAATTAGCTTATTTTATTAAAATCCTGAACGGAGTTTGATCTGAGTTTCATCTTTTAAGAAACTAATCTCTCACAAACACTGGTTATTATAAAATAAAAAATTGTAAAATTTGCCAAACTGATAGATGAAAAATAGTATCTCTTGTGGCAAGATGTGGTGATAATTTTTTTGGCACTTTTAAGGAAGTATAGGCACATGATAATAAATTTAAATAGTATAAAAGTGATGAGTATTTTGAATATTTCCTTGGTTACAATGTTTATTACGTGACATCTTTGTATGTTGCATGTTTATATCTGAAGAATCGATTTTGTTATTTCACTTTTTCAAAGACATTTTTATTGTGGCAAAAATATACTTAACAAAGCGTATACCATTTCTACAGTTTCTCGTTGTACAATTCAGTGACATTGATTGCATTCTTCAGGTTGTGCAACCATTCTCACTATTCTAAGAAATCATTCTACTACCATTAAATCAGTGCCCCCTAAACGAACACTCTCCCTTTTCCGTTCTCTTCCCATAAACACTTTTGTTATGAAAAATAATAAACAGCCTGCTTTGCTTTTTAATGAAGTAAGAAGGCTGCTTTCTCCCAATTTCTATCGCTTAACTACCCTATTACACTCTCCAGAGGAGACACTGCACCAATTTCTAGTATGCCCTTTAGATACAAGCAGGTATGGGTCTGTTTCTGGTTTTGTATAATAAAATGGGTATAAATGGCTGGGTCTTCGTGTAATAAAATATGTTTAAATAGCTCATAGTCTTTGGTACTATGTTTTTCATATATATATATATAAAACTTTTGGTACTCAATACTAAGGAGAAAGTTTATTTCAGTACCTTCAACATACTTCTTTCCTTCTTTTGGAAACTGTCCTGATGCTTCCAAAGTACTAGAGGCACTGAGACTTCTCCACATCTCTGTCCAGGAAAAAGAACTTTGGCATCAGCTACCTGGGCCGGGATCGACTAGGACAGGAAGCTTACCTCTCACTTCTGTCTGACTGGGATCTCAGCACAGCATTTGCCACTGCCTCCAAGCCTTACCTGCAGTTACGTATAGACATTCGGCCCTCTGAGGACAGTGAGTACCCAGTGCCCCAGGGGCACAGCTGTGTGACCCTTTCCTCATAGGATGAGGTTGTGATTCATTCTTTCACAATATATTTACTTTCTGAGAGCTGGGTATCTTGGCCATTGGAGGTAGGTTTCTTCACTAAAAATGTAATGTTCTTAGGTCACATCAAGTTGGAACTCAGAGCTGACTTTCCAGTGAGTTTTCAGAGGCTATAAATCATGAGAGGAGATTGCCCATCTTTCTCCTAAGGAGTAGCTGGTGGATTCTAACCGCCTGCCAGTACAACTCCTTACCAGTAGGCCACCAGAGCTCCTTGTCACGTATAACATAGAATAATATTTTACCACTATTATGAGGCTTGACAGAGAATTTAATGTAAAATGCCATGGAACATTGTATGACCATATAATGAATGCTCAAAAAATATTCTAATAATTATGAGCTCTTATGGCATAGTCTTTATGGAATTATGCTGCCAATTCAAAGGCCATACTACTCTGGTAGTTCAAATCCACCAGGAGCTCCATGAGAGAAAGGTGGAAAATCTCTTGCTGTGCAATTTACAACCTTAGAAACCCACTAGAGTGTCAGCTGTGAGTTAATATGCCATGTCTATTCAATGGCAATCAGTAAATAATAATGGTTATTTTATTATATTGTAATTTAATATGTGATAGAACATGATGAAATTTAGTAAGGTAGGTATGATATTCAGTTATACTATATATAACGGTGCTTATTATAATACTGACTTCTATATTCATTGATTTTGTCATCCTGCACTCACTATCACTTTTTGTCCTCTTATTTTAAAATTGTGATTTGAATGGACGTTTATAATCAAGTTTTCTCCCCAATCATTCGTGCACATTCTGTTTCACAACACCACAATTAGAATGCACACAATGTCTAATTGTCTAGTCCGCATTGTCTTGCCCTTCTTCTACTCCAGTAAGTGTTCATAGTCTAGCAATTTTATACTCCCCCCAACTTCCCCTCCTTAATAACCATACTAGCTTCTAATACTAACCATTCACTTTGTATGAAAACATTTTGTTAACTTCTTTAACAATCTTATGTAATATTTGTCTTTTTGTGTCTGATTATATATTTCACTAAATATAATGTCCTCTAGAATCATCCATGTTTTGTGGTGTTGGTGAAATCATCATTCTTTTTCAGTGTTGCATAGTAAATAGTTCCTCTGTCCATTTATTTGTTAATGGGCACTTTGTTGGTTTTTCTTTTTTTTTGTTTTTTTTATTATTATTATTATTATTTTTGTGTGCGTGTACCGTCAAATCAGATCTGACTGGTACAGGAGGAGATTGTCCCTCCTTCACCCGGCAGAGCATCTGGTGGATTCGAACCGTTCACCTCTGGGATTGTAGTTGCAGCTCCTTGCCACTAGGCCACCAGAGCTCCCCGGTTTTTCTTTTAAATTTATTTTTAATTTCAATGAAAATTTACAGAGACTTTGGATTTCCATTAATTCATTGTTGCACTTTTCTCCCCTCCCAACCCTCCCCCCTTATACACTACCCTCTTGGAAAAGTAAAAGAAAATTCTTTCATTGTTTTACCATTCCTCCCCCCAGGTCCACTCCACTATTCAGCCTTCACTCTGGACTCCTGTCATGACAAAAATACCTAATCACATATCCCTCTTAAACCGTTTTCTCCCTCATCTGTTTCAATGTAGTATACATTATTGAACCCACCTTTCTCGGTCTCCCCCCAACCTCAATGTTAGTCCTGTTTTACAACAGTGGCACCATACAGTATTTGTCCTTTTGTGACTGAGATAATTCACTCAGCATAATGTCCTCCAGAATCACCCATTTTGAATAATATTGCATGAGTTCCTTGGTTTTCAATGCAGCATAGTATTCCACTGTGTGAATATACCACAGCTTCTCTATCCATTCGTTTGTTGATGGGCACTTTGGTTGTTTCCAACTCCTTACTATTGTGAACAAAGCTGTGATAAACATGGGTGTGCATATATCTGCTTCGATGTCATTTATGGTCTCTTTGGGGTATATTCCCAGTAGTGGAATTGCTGGGTCAAATGGTATCTCTATTTGCAACTTTTTGAGAAAGCTCCATACCACCTTCCACAGTGGTTGCACCATTTTACACCTCCACCAACAATGAATAAGGGTTCCAGTTTCTCCACAACCTCACCAGCATTTGTTACTTGCTGTTCTGTTAAATTTTGCTATTCTGACTGGTGTGAGATGATATCTCATAGTTGTTCTGATTTTCATCTCCCTTAGAACTAGAAATTTTGAACATTTCTTCATGTGTTTTAAGGAATCACTAAACAGCTTTCCAAAATGATTGCACCATTTGACATTCCCACCAGCTATGTATGAGAGTTCCAGTTCACTACCTCCTCTTTAGCATTTCTTGTTTCAACCCTGTTGAACTTTTTTATTATTACTGAAGTGAGATGATATCTCAATATTGTTTTGATTTACATTTCCATACCAGCTAGTGATCTTGAGCATTTCTTCATGTGTTTGTTGGCCATCTGAATGTCATCTTTGGTGAAGAGTCTTTCTCATATCTTCTGACCATTTTATAATTGGGTTACTTGTCTATTTTTGGTTGAGGTGTTAGAATTTTCTATAAATTTTAAATAATGAGCCTTATCAGATAGGTCATCGCCAAATACTTTTTCCTAGTCTGTAGACTCTCTTTTTACTCATTTGGAGAAATGTTTTGATACACATAAAAGTTTAATTTTTTAGAAGGTTCCATTTATCCATTTTATCCTCTCCTGGTTGTGCCTTCCCCCCTTTCCCTTTTTTAAAAAATTTTATGCTGATTTATTTACAAAGTTTGAATACATTATTTTTCACAGAAGATCCTTTCCATTTCCTCACCCACCCACCCATCAAATTGTGCAAACCTATTATTAACATCCCCCCATCCTCACCCTTCTGCTTCCACCCTCCCCACCCCTTGGATCCTCATGTTTATTCTACAATAATTGTTTTATACAATATTTGTCATTGTGGGACTGAGTTCACTCAGCGTAATGCTCTTCAGTCCCTCCCAAATTAGGTGGTAGTTTATAAAATCATTGCTCTTGCGTGCTGAATAGTATTCTGTTGTATGAATGTACCACAACTTCTCAATCCATTTGTTTGTGGTGGACATCTGGGCTGTTTCCATGTTCTTGTGATGGTGAATAAAGCTGCTATGAACACTGGTGGACAAGTCTCTGTCTCAGCCTCAGTTCTCGTATTCTTGGGGTATATTCCAAACAATGGAATAGCTCGATCATATGGAATTTCTGTGTTCAGTTTTTTGAGGAAGTGCCTTCCAGAGTGGTTGTACCATTTTACAGTCCTACCAAAAATGTGTAAGAGTTCCTACCTCACCACATCCTCACCAACATTTATTACCTGCTGTCCTGTTAAACTTTGTTGTGGCTACAGGAGTGAGATGGTATCTCATTGTGGTTTTGATTTGCAACTCTCTTTTGCCAGTGATTTTGAGCATTTCTTGATGTGTCAGTTGGCCATTCGAATATCTTCCTCTGTGAAAATTCTTTTCATGTCTTTTGCCCACTTTGTAATTGGGTTACCAGTCCTTTTCTTGTGGAAGCCCAAGAGTATTCTATAAACTTTTGTTATGAGACTCTTGTCTGAGATGGTATTGCCAAATGTTTGTTCTTAGTTGGTAGGTTTTCTTTTTACCCTGTTGGAAAAAGTTTTTGATGCACACAGGGATTTACTCTTTGGAAGGTCCCATTCATCAATTTTATCCTCTCCAGATTGTACATTTCTGGCTGTATTTGGCCGTCTTTTTATACCATAGACTAGGCCTTCTAAGCTTGATCCCTTTTATGAACTTTATGGTTTTGGACTTTACTCCCATTTCAATAAAAGAGGCTGGAAAAAAATATACCAAGGAAATGGCAACCATAAAAAAAGCAGGCGTGGCAATACTAATCTGTGATAAAATAGATTTCAGAATGAAAACCACCATAAAAGATAAGAAGGGCATTACCTGCTGATTAAAGGCACAATGTGTCAAGAAGGCATACCCTTGGTCAACATTTATGCACCAAATGATAGGCATGCAAAATACATAAAACAATGGTTAACAGAATTGAAGAAAGAAATAGACAGCACCACAATAGTGGTCAGAGATTTCAACATACCACTATCACCAAAGGATAGGTCAACCCAAAAGAAACTCAACAGGACCGGGCTGGGCCAGAGCAGCCCAAGATGGCCAACTTTGAGGATCCGGTGTCGGATGAGGAGAAGGTACACATAGCTGCTAAATTCATCACTCATGCACCTCCAGGAGAGTTTAATGAAGTGTTTAATGATGTCCAACTACTACTTAATAATGACAGTCTCCTCAGGGAAGGGGCAGCCCATGCATTTGCCCAGTATAACATGGACCAGTTCACACCTTTGAAGATGGAAGGATATGAAGATCAGGTCTTAATTACAGAACACCATGACCTGGGTAGTAGCAGAGTTTTAGACCCAAGAAATAAAATGTCCTTCAAGTTTGATCACTTAGGGAAAGAAGCAAGTGACCCTCAACCTGAGGACGTAGATGGAGGCCTGAAGTCTTGGAGAGAATCCTGTGACAGTGCTTTAAGAGCCTACGTGAAAGATCATTATTCCAACGGTTTCTGTACTGTTTATGCTAAAACAATAGATGGGCAACAGACTATTATTGCATGTACTGAAAGCCACCAATTTCAACCTAAGAACTTCTGGAATGGTCGTTGGAGATCAGAGTGGAAGTTAACCATCACACAATTCAGGTTTATTATTATGAAAATGGCAATGTTCAATTGGTTAGTCATAAAGATGTACAAGATTCAGTAACTGTTTTGAATGAAGTCCAGACTGCCAAGGAGTTTGTTAAAATCATAAAGCACACAGAGAATGAATATCAGACAGTTAGTGAAAACTATGAAACAATGTCAGATAATATGTTCAAGGCCTTGCAACGGCAGCTTCCAGTTAT